GAGTGTTAAGAGAACCTCAGAGTTATATCCAAACCTTTGCAGCTCAATCACTTTAAACTCTTTATTAGTAAATCATCTCCCACAGTTAAAGGTATCCTATATGTTTTTGTTAATGATTGGTACACTGAACTATGTAATGAAATATGAGCAATGAAAACCAGTTTGTAATAAGAGACTATGCCCAGTACCTATTTAATGATATTTTGACTCCAGATTCTTGTTTTTATCACTAAGAGCTCAGAAATTTTAAATCCTTCCCATAATTATTTTTCTGCGTGTTTTAGCAAAACTCAAAATATTTAACTTATAACTGTGCAGTCTTTAATCTCCGTGGCTTTCCTCAGAACAAGGAAATAGTAAGAGTTAGCCTAGACAACTGGTTTTAATTTAAGCTAATAGTTTGTGTTTCAGGGAGAAATCCATGTATCTGGCTAACTTTGTGATTTCATATGGCCAGAAAGGAAGAAAATTGAAATGGTGTTGCTCCTACAAATCCTCAGTGCAAGTACCCAAATTAGTACTGTAAATTCAATACGCCTATATTTTAAAATGTCTTGCAAGAATTCCTACCATCATTTATGGCCTTCTGGGTAACACGCTAATAGCGGCCAACAGAACAATAACTGTTCAATGACTTCCATGATGACATTCTCATTATGGCCCAGATTTTGATATCATTAATCAAGCACCATCTTATTCCATGAATAGTCATCCCACTGACACAGTCTCTCCAAATAAGGAGAATTTAGTGCAAGTAAGTCTAATGAATTTGGCATTGAATCAGAACAGGCCATGTAGATATGAACTTTCAAAATCATATGGAAAAAATCATGTTTAAGCACAGTTCTACAGTATACTAAGCACCATGAATGTCCTTTGTTATTAATGAAGTGTTGAGCATGCTCATTACAAGAGAAAGGTCATACCTTGCAGAATAAGTATTTGGTGGACAGGGCAATGAGAAATGTAGTGATATATGTAGTGATAGGACAAAGGTAATGGCTTTAAACTGAAAAGGGGCAGATTTAGATTAGATATTAGGAAGAAATTCTTTACCATGAGGGTGGTGAGGCCCTGGCACAGGCTGCCCAGAGAAGCTGTGGCTGCCCCTGGCTCCCTGGCAGTGTTCAAGGCCAGTCTGGATGGGGCTTTGGGCAACCTGGGCTAGTGGAGGGTGTCCCTGCCCGCAGCATGGGGGTTGGAACTAGATGGGCTTTGAGGTCCCTTCCAACCCAAACCAGTCTGTGATTCTCTAAATCTGGCTTAACCTTAAATCTTGAAGTGTAAGTCTCTACCAATGTATGAATGCGTTGCAATATAGCAAACAAAACACAGGATCTAGTTTACTGCAATGTTTGCCTTCCAATAATTTCCGTAGACATGTTATCTAATTTTCTGTCTTCTGTGGATGTTTGGTACCAAAGTGTAATCTCATTGATGCTATGTAACTTCAAACAAGCTCTGCATTTGAAATTAACCTTTGTTCTCACAGAAACTGCTTCTCTTATATAGACAAAGCCATCTTGGCTCCTAAGCCCCATCTTAAGAAGGAAGTCTGGCTCAGAGGCTTAGGTTTCTGTGAAGGCACTGAAGAATAATTTATCCTGCTCTATACCATGATGTGGTACTGTGTCTTCCTGACATGCATCTGTTTCTCTTCATCCAAACAGAATAAATTAACTCTTCTGCATGTCACTATAACACGCCTGTACCCTAAATCCACAAAACCTGACTTGTAGAAGTTATTTTCAGACTGCAGTTCATTTGAAAACTTCTGAGAAAACAGGAAAAAAAACCCAACCAAAAAAAAGAAAAGGGAGTATCTTCAGTTAACTATTATAATAATCTGACATTAAAAATGATCAATATAATCAGGAAAAAAAATAAATCCCTATGCAGTGGGCAGAGGCTGTACAGCTAACTGACAATTATCTCGTTCACAGCAGTTGCCCCTTCACAGCACATACAGGACCTTCCTTCTACGTAAATAGCTTAAGGATGAGTTTTCCTTTGTGCTCTACTTTCTTGAAGTCAATGGCAAAACTGCAAAGGGAATTCTCCTCTCTTCTCAGATTCAGCTTACTACCACAGCAAAGTGCTTCTAGTAGCAATGCCATTATCCATTATCATAACAAAATGTGCAGCCGTCATTTATCACACTGTTTTGTCTCACACCCTCTTCAGTGCACAAAAAGCCTACAATATGTACCAGTCTAAGATGGAGTGCTCTTTCCTTAATTTGGGAGAAAAGATTCCAGAACATTTTTATAAAAGTATATTCTGAGAATAACTTAGATAAAGGCTAGGTCAAACACACTTCACCTTTGGCAACGACAGTAATGTAACTCGCAGGAATCTTTGCCTCCTGCAGAGTTTCTTTCCGAACCTGTGCCCATCTCTATGAGCATTCTGTTACCAAATAACAGGCTTTGTAAAGCTCTTGGAGAGTTTCAATGGATCCCAGAGGTGAAGTAGTCAATCACAGTCTTGAAGACTTACAAGCCCTTGCAAGTCTTGTCCTTGTGGGTCTTTAACCCTTATTCCAGGCTACAGAGCCTTTAAGATAATGGCTGAAACTTGTGCGTTTGCTTTAATCAGTTTTCCACAGGAAGCTACTGTGCAAGGAAGAAGGTAAAATGAACATGTTTATTGCTACCTGGGTTGATTGTGCAAATATCCTCAATGTTCTGTGCTAGCTTATATTTCTTAAATGCTGAAGCTTTCATATCCAAGCAGATCACATTATTGCAGTCCAGCTGATAGGCCATAAAGATATGCATATGTTTAAATAGATCATCACCCACAACAATAGGACAGAAATGTATAGCTATCCAGAGAGGAATGCAAGCTCATAAATCTTGGTAAATGTAAATGAAATTTTGTAACAAAGAAGAATCAATTAATGAAAGCCTATGCATGTGCATCTTCACCAAAGAAGACTGCAGAGTTGCTGCAACCTCTTTAAAACTCATGGCCTGGTTCCAGATTGTTCTGAGCACAGAACATTAGCCTCAGTGAAAGAGGCTTCAGTTTTGCCTTTTTTAAATTTTTTATTTTTAAAAGCTCAGTGAGAATATTTGACCCTGAGAAATTGCTGGCTCACATGCATCCAGGATAAGCTTCTCCATATTAGTTACACTGCTCTGTTTTTAAAGGGGAAAGGAACAAGGCAGTGCTCTTCATCCAGAAATGATACAGATTAGTCAGAACTTCTTTTTGTAAGCTAGGAAAGACCCAAATTGAATATGAAAGCCTTGATTCAGAGATGATTCGGAATTCAATCCCATCAAGGATTGATGGAGGATCAATGTTACAAACTCTAGGTGTCCAGATGTGCTGCTCACTGACAGATGTAGATGGAACATAAGTAAAATTAAGACAACGCTGAGCACTAACAAAATTCCATCATTTAATTTTCAGGCTTCTCAAGCTTCTAAGTTTTTTGAGTCTTTGCAAGACTTGTACTGCTTGTATTTTATAACTCTCCAAGGTGAACATAGTCTGGGGCAGATCCTGAGCTACTAAAAGGAAGAGGAAAATGCTTACTGATTTCAGTGACTAAAGTCTCTATCAGTCATCAGCAGGAGAAAACTTTGCATGATCTAATTTATTTCTGCTCTAAGATAGAATACAAATAAACACTGACCACCTTAATTTTGCGATTGCTTGTTACAAATATACACATACAATAGCAGGCTTGCTCAGAGCCGTGGTTGTTTTATTGTTCTGCTGACTTGAATCTAAATGTATATCAGTCAAGGATCAGCCCAAAAGATATGTAATGAGGAATTATAAGTTTTGGGTTTGGTTTTTGGTTTTTTGTTTGTTTGGTTGGTTGGTTTTTTTCCAGAAAGGAACAGTGAAACTGGTGTGGAATAAAATCCTGTCAAGACAGAAGCAGTGTGACACACACAGACCAGTGAAGTAAATGGAAAATGTACTTTGGTCCTGGTTGCAAAGTACTTCCGTACCAGAATGAAGTTCCCATGTGCATAACCAGCACAAAGCCAAAAAAAAAAAAATAGGCTAAAGGACAAGAAAGGCTATTTCTGCATTTATATTTTAAGTATACATATTTAACTAGTCACAGTAATCCCTAGGCACAAGGATATCTGGTGTCTGGAATATATCTATAGGCCTACTGAAAGGATATAGTTAAATTCACTTCCAGAAGAGAGATTATAAGAAACGATTACAACATCACACCTGTAAGAGAGAGATTTGTGCATGCTAGAACTGCCCAATCACAGAAAAACTTACTATATTCTTCTTTTTATCATCAAACTTTTTGTTGAATAAAGACCAATCATAGAGCCTAACTACGCATCACAAGGTACCAAGGGGTTCACAATATGATCCATGGTTCATAGTCACCATGTGGCAGAATCATAGGGCCATTCAGTTAGCAGCTTTTGCAAAGACCATAGTTGTACTATGGCACTGCAAAGAATTTTACTAAAGACTCAGATTCCTCACTGGAAGTTTTTTGCTTGTTTGTTTCTTTTTGATGCTGAGATGCCCTTTTTTAAAAAGATATTATTAAACTTGGATTGCAATTAAATATCTGTCTACTTTTATGCCATGGACATGTAAAAAACTTAATTACATACCTTATGAACTATAATATAGTTAGCACATGTACTATATCCATCTTTTTATATATATTGTATATATAGTTTCTCAAACATTAAATGCATTTCTTTGAAAATCCTTTTATAACATTCAAAAAATAAGCTGCTTCAACAGCAACTTTTGTGAGATCTACTGCACTAACTATAGCAGCTTTAAATCTGACCGTCTCTTTGTATACTCCACATTCGCCTTTAATTAAGGCCTGCTAGACCGCAAAATATAGGTTCACTTCATTCAGCAATTTTCTTCAGATTTAAAACAGCTAAAACTTATTTTACACAGATTTCCTTATTTCTTTGTCTTTCCACATTAGAATCTCTGGTCATTTTTAAATTTTGCAGTGCAGAGTAAATATGAACCTATCTTACCTTCCATGTGTTCCACATAGCAATACACGTCATAAGTTTCATTAGGAAAACGGCGTCCATATGTTCTGACTCCTTTCTTTCCCATTTTATCTCCAAAGCAGCCAATTCTTGGATGTCTAATTGGATACCTGAAATGCAGCATGCTCATATTTATAATTATGATAAGTTAGCATTTTAAGCCTGTACAGGCTAAGTGTATTAATTTAGGGAAACTGTGTCAAGGGGCCTTTTAAATGTCTCACCTAACAGTCTGGTCAGACAGCCAGCCAGCATCACATTGCTCAAATCCATCTTCATAGGCTGCTTTCAGTTGTTCTGGGCTTGCTATGACAGCACCATTATCCAGACAAGTCTGCTGAGCTTGTGTAAAATTCAGAGTATACCTGCTGGTTGCTGCGCGATAGTGAAATACAACACCTGAAAAGGCAAAAAACTTACATTAGTGACACATTTTGCATCGTTTCTGCAACCATCAGCATACTGTAACTTTACCTAGGTATTGTTACAATGCTGAAAACAGATGGGTACAATAAAAATACTAAAAGGCTAAGAGATATGCTATTATATAAATGATGTGTCCCCCCCCAGTGGCTCCTACCAGCAATTATATATCACCCTATGTTATTAATAGTTGGTGAAATTATATTCACTGTACACACAGAAAAAAAGTAATTAAACCATATATGCACTATCACTGCAGCATTACAGAAAATCATGATCAAAAGGGAGAATGAATGCTGATAAAGTATGTCAATGATATCACACAGTTACCTGGACTCTTCCAGTTCCAGTTACACTGCGGGCAAGGTTGCTTATGCTAAAAGCATTACCTGACATGTTGGCTTATTGGCCTACATGACACATCCAGTTGCGAGTCAAACTGCGTGACCAGACAAGACTAAGCACATCTAGTCCTTGGAAAAAGTGGGCTTAAAAATAGACTTTCTGAAGCAGCCAGCCGCAGTAACTGCATGCAGAAGATCCTTGATCCCTGGAGTGCTTGAATTCTGCTAACTGCAGTGAGACATGTAACCAATGGGGACACCAAAAAAATTGTGCTTTTCATGCAGATTCATTCATTGGTGATGGCTCTGATGCCTGTCCCTATGCATCAAAGCTTACTACAAATGTAACATTTTTAAATATACCACTGTTGGTCAATTTTTTGTAACCACGTTTTCCTGCACACACTACAAATGATACAGACAGAACAAAGCTTGCTTTTATTTGGGGCCTTTCTGGTTCTGGAAAGAATCTCGACAATTTCAAAAGTTACTTGAGCACGTCAGACATTTGGAGAGGGAGGGCTGGAGTTAAGATGGTTTTGGTTAAGACGGGATCTGTCTAGAAGCCACATTCTGTTTTCTATATACACATAATTCCCACTGAATTTGGCAAAAGCTACACATGCACACACCTAAAACAAACCATAAAGGGCATCAACTCCGAAGTGACAGAAAACAGGTATTCCACCTTGCAAACTCACTTCCCCCCTATTGCCAGTGTCTTTTACAATTTAGCATCCAAAGGATGTCTGCAAAATAACATTCAACCTCACCTATTGCACTTTAAAATCTTCAGAAGCCTTGCAACACCATAAAACATCCATTACACAGAATGGCTACAAAGCAAGAAAAATAAACCATAAAATGTTCCTTTTCTCTGATGATTTTGTTGGAGCACTTCATGATGAGGAAATAACATACTGTAATACAGTTTGGGAAAATGGTGGCATTGTAGCAATAATGAATTTAACAAGTCTTTGTTATTAGAGCATTGTTGAAAGATGGAAGAAGTCTGCTAATTTACAAGTAAATAGAAATATGGGTAACTTAGTAAAATGTTGATTCAAGAGGTTTCAACATATTCAGAAATACTTTTTCTCATACAGACAAAGTCAGTAAAATTTTGCCACTTATCAAAGGTCTGGATATGGTCAATAAATAGAAAATACACATTTTTCTTCTTCTCATGATTCACTAAGAATGTTTCTGGAATTAAAATAGAATATGTTATTCAAAACCTTTTCACAGGTAGTCATTAGACACCAATTTTATCAAAGCTACTGGCAGAGAAACAGGAAATCAAAGAGGAAATGTTGGGAATCCCTATATTTCATCTTTTAATATGGAGTCACACACCAGCTGCAGCCACTAACTGGAAGCTTACAGACCATTAGCATCCCCATAAAATGCCTTTTCAGAACCACTGACAGAACCCATCACAAGCAGTGCTTCTTCCAAGCAACGATGTAATTTCAGCTTCAAAGGACCCAAGTGTTGGATTTTGGCAGCAGTGACAAGTGAAGAATATACCCTGAAAAATCATGGTTATGTTTATATTACTAAATTAAATATTCCAGGTGCCTGCAATTCAATCACCAAGACTGTTAAATAGCTAGATTAGTTCACTGCATTATTTGACCCAGGGACCATAACACCCTTCCAAACAATTTCTGGGCAGACGTCAGCAGCTAGCAAAGACCAGGGACAACTTCCAACAGGCATCTTCATCCTGTGCTGGGAGCCAAAGAAGCATAACAGCATGGATGGGGGCCACACTGCTCCAGGCAGCCTCAGTGCTAAAGCACAGCCTCAAGCACGTTTTCTTATTTATGTGAACTATCTGTACCTGCAGAGATTGAAAGGGAATGTCAGGGAGATAGCTCCTGTATTCCTGCACTTTTCTGTTATAGGGCATCCTTCACTGCCTAGTTAGGGCAAATTTACATACCATTTATATTGTCTTAAGAGGTGCAAAACTTTATTTATACATATGTAGTTGTATATATGTGTGTATGCATGTGCATATTTTGGCTTTGTGTACCCTAAACAGCACCATCCTTTAACATGTCCAACACAGAGCACTACTTCACAACATAAAAAAAGTTAGGCAACAGCAACTAATCATATTTAGAATTTAAAAGCTTAAAATAACAACAATATTATTTGGAGATTATTTTTGTAAAAGCTGTGGTATGAATTAAAATATTTAATATATTCAGAATTTAGTAACATTGGTTGACTCTGTGAGCAAGTTACCTGCTGGTATAAAGAAACTATATTCAGTGGAAAAATAGTAAATAAAAACATGGGTTCAAATGACCTGCTTGGTGTTCTAGGTCTAGAAATAAGAAATGGGCAAGTTTTACAGAGCTCACAACAGAATCAAACATTTACCCTGAATCATAAGTATGAAGCCATAATTATATACACAAGCTGGGCATCTGGCTTTACTGCATGTTACTGTTGAATATATCCAAACATTTTAAGCTTTTTTTTTTTTTCTTTAGTAGCATTGGTGTTTCTGTAGTGTACAATATTTGACACTGACTCTGTAACTCAGGGTCAAACCAGAAATTCCTAAGTATGTGAAGTAATTTGTTCATTGATTTGTTGTTTTAATCTTAATTAAAATGTATTTTATATTAATTTAGATTAATTGCCTCTTTTTTGGTTTGGTTTTTTTTTTTCCCCCAAGATTGCTTAACTGATGCTATATGACTTCAATTGGGCACAAAAGTGCTGCTTCTCAGTACATCCACAAAAAGGTTCATTAGCTTAGGAGGAGATGGCAACATATTTCTCTGAACTTGTAGTTTTTTAAAGCTTCCTACTACTTAAATATAGGAGTGCATTCTCCACAACAGCTATCTCACCTCTCATGTTTTCCATGTTGGAAGCAACCACTGCCCTTCCTAGCTGGCATATGTTTGGGAACCCTGTGATATCTGAGTAAGGCAAGACTAAAGAGTTAATATCACTGTCAATTTAAAGTAGCTTTTGCAGCACTGAGAAGAGTGTTTGGTCACTTGTAAATCCTGGAAAGGAACTTGGAGAATGCTTTGTTCTCCTCACCCTGATCCAAAAGGTAAATTTCATTTATTCTTAGAGTTGAAGGCTCTTGCATTTCCAGTGAGGAGCTAATGGACATAAAAGAGCCTCCAAGATGAATGGGAAGGAGGACGTCAGTGTGTATAAGCCTGTGCAACAGCTGCAATAATTAGAAGACCCCCTGGGGCTAAGAAGATTAAAGTGCACGACTTTCATTGTTTCAGTTAGACAGAAAGAGAGGGGCAAAATCCATTGTCCGAGTTTTTGCACTTTAAATCATTTGTAAAGGATTTTTTTCCCTTTGTCTATTTCCTCTCTGAAAGAAAAGGCAAGAAATAAGTTGTCCTAGGAACAAAAAAAGCAACTGGAAAACAGACTAGAGCAGTATAATGTCACTGCACATCTGGCAAACAAAGTCAGTGTAATTACAGGAAGGAGTAGCAGTGACTGCAAGAAAGAGCACTCATAGGAAAGTAAATTGTAGCATCCAAAATTCACTTCTGTACGAGCAAGAGAGAATGTCCTTTAATCATTTATCTCTGTCTCAGACCAGAAAATGAGAATGTAAAGTATTTCACTTTTAACAAACTAGGGCTTCCACGGGTAAGAGCCTGGTTCTGCGGTTTCACGCCTTTGGGCTGCAACTTTGCTTTATCACTTAACCTCACTGAACTGCAGGGGAAGGGCTCCTGCTATGGATAATAAATTACAGTTCACTCTCACTAGTGAGCTCACACTGCTGCAACATGCACTCTTGGAGTCACATAAAGCCTGAATTTCAGTTGTCTCACATACCAAAGAATATCAAGAGGAAAGACGATGATGGTAGTAGTTGTTGTTCTGTTAATTTTTAAGTTCAAACCATAGCCACTGTGGTGCAGACCCCTGAAATAACCACCAACCCACTGCCAAAGCTACCACACAGTCTGGTGATCCCCCTTGCCTTTAACGCAGAAGACAATTTACATTACAAATACACGCCAAAATAGAGGTTACAGGACTGAGCGCTGTATGAAAGGAAGGAATAGGGCAGCATATTCAGCTTCCTGCATGAATAATTCATTTCTGTTCCTCATTGGAGGTTTTGCACCCATCTTTTGACCCCTGTCTTAGGCTTTGGCAACCTGAGAAGAACAGGCTCGCCTCCCATCAGCAGGAGCTCCCTTGCCAAACGCCTCAAGGAACTTCTCATGGTGGGGATAGAAAGTACGTACTTTCTCACCCTATCAGCTCCAGTGCCTCCTGCTCTCCAGGGGCAGACACTTCTTGTACAAACTCGCACATTGCTCCTCTGTGCAAGATGTTTGCATCTGCCCTCACAGAGCAACGACGCAGTTGCATGCAGGTGTACGCTACCTCCTCTGACCAAAATGGTCCCAACAATGAAAGTGATTGATGCTGAGCTTTACCTGTATTTTTCTCAGGGGGAAGGACTTTATCACACCTGCATTAATCTCTGAATACAGTTGGATCAACTGCATCACCCCGTTATCTCTGCACAGCAATGTATTAGGTCACACAAGTAGTCACTGAGGCCAAGACACTGCTACTTGAATTAAAACTACTAAAAAATTAAAATACACA